TGGATTCGAGAGGAAGATGATTCTGGTGAACAAGCAGTTCACTGGACCGAGGATTGAGATCACTGAGGGAGATGATGTTACCATCAAGGTCAACAACAACCTGCCCTACGCCACAACTGTCCACTACCACGGTAAGCTGAGACTGATCTCTTGATCCAACATTCGACTGGTGACTAATATGCCTGTAGGTATTGAGCAGTTGAACACCCCCTGGTCCGATGGTGTTCCCGGCCTCACCCAGAAGCCTATCCAGCCCGGCAAGAGCTTCGAGTACAAGTGGAAGGCCACTCAGTATGGTGCTTACTGGTACCACGCCCACTACGAGGGACTCATTGAGGATGGTCTCTACGGAGCCATCACCATCCACCCCGCCGCCTCCCACCAAAAGCCCTTCAGCCAGATCTCCTCCGACAGCGCCGCTATTCACGCCATGGAGCAGGCCGAGAAGAAGGTCGTTCCTCTCCTGCTCGCCGACCACCGCCACATGATCTCCGAGGAAGTTCACGACCTGTCCAAGGCCGCCGACATTCAGTTCTCCTGCTACGACTCCTTCCTGTTCAACGGCAAGGGCAGCGTCATCTGCCGCACCCCCGAGCAGATTGATGCCCTTCTGACACAAGAGCGCAAGGACGTCCTCGCCAACGTTGCTGGTGCCCGCATGACTGACAAGGCGTAAGTCACACCCCCGCGCTGCCTTCCACAAACACGAGTCTCGCTAACACTATCTAGATGCATCCCCGCTGCTGTCATTGCCCGTGGCCAAGGTGATCTGAGCAAGGTTCCTGCCGGAGTCTTTGATGGCTGCCAGCCTAGCGATGGTGGCCTCGAGACTTTCAAGGTCGAGAAGAGCAACTGTGACACTGAGAAGTGGGTTGCCTTTGATCTCGTTGGTGCCTACGGCCTCCACACCGCCATGTTCTCCATCGACAACCACTCCATGTGGGTTTACGCCATGGACGGTGCCTATGTCACTCCCCAGGAAGTTGAGGCTATCCCCGTCGCCAACGGTGACCGCTACTCCGTCCTCGTCAAGTACAAGCAGCAGGGCGACTTCACCATCCGCGCTGCCTCCGTCATCGCCACCCAGATGCTCAGCGGTACCGCTCTCCTCCAGTGGCGTGAGAAGGGACAGCCCGAGCCCACCATCGTCGCCTCTACTCCCTGGGTCGCCGACAACGGCAAGCCAACCTCCAAGGATGTTCGTGTCTTCCGCCAGGCTCTCGCCAAGCCCTTCCCTCCCATCGCCATTCCTCAGACTGCCAGCGTCCTGCACAAGTTTGAGATGCGCAGCGAGGGTGGCTCCTACTTCTGGGCCCTGAACGATAACTTCCTCCTCCCCGCCGACTACGAGAACGACTCTCCCGTCCTCTTCGGCGTCCTCGCCGCCGAGAACGACCCCACCGTCGTCTCCACCAAGAACGGCACCTGGGTCGACATGGTCTTCCAGGCCACGGCCCCGCCCCAACCCCCTCACCCCATCCACAAGCACGGCAACAAGATGTTCCTGCTCGGCTCCGGCACCGGTAACTTCACCTGGAACACCATTGAGGAGGCCGTCGCCGCCAACGGCACCCTCTGGAACTTGGTCGACCCTCCTCGCAGGGACGCATTCGCGACGCCCAACGCCATCAGCCAGCCTACCTGGATGGCTGTCCGGTACCTCGTCGACAACCCGGGTCCCTGGTTGCTTCATTGCCACATCCAGAACCACATGATGGGCGGCATGTCCGTCATCATCCAGGATGGTATCGATGCCTGGCCCGTCACACCGCAGGAGTACGTCAACTACAACTAAAGGACATTGTCATAAAAGTCTGGTCACAAGAGTATACCACAAAACGAGTTCCCAGGGGGTCGGTTAATGGTGTAATGGGAAATCTAGAAGGGGCTTTCATGGCGCGGGGCGGCATTTGATTTGCATGGACGGCTTGTTTTGCTACTCTCTTCTTGCGCGGGGCATTTTTGGACAAAATCTCTTATCCTTCCGGACTGTCATATATTCACCACAGATGCAGTAATCATTGAATCGATAATGAACATTTACACCAATTTTGTGGCCCTATAGTTGACTTCCTGAATGACTGATAAATTGAGACGTTTGCCTACATGGTTTAGCGTGGTGTGAGTGATGCGTATCATTTGCATCTGTACCGGAGTCTGCTCGACAATCCCACGAAAGCTGCCACAACATCATGAGCTCATGTCTTGGTCCAAGTCACAACTAACATGCTGCGGCGTCATCCACGTAGAGTGTTCTGCTTCACCGTTTGTTTTTGTCCTGCCTGGCATGATGCCGTGTCACCGCGGCAGTACTACCCTAGAGCATCTTCCTCTCACAAAACCACATGCCGCCCTTCCGAGCGCTTGAATAAGTTGAGAGAGGGGGCGAACAAGGCTACCCGGCACGCCTCGTCGCACAGCAGCTGTTGGTCGATCAACGCGTTAGGAGATGCTCTAACTCGTACGTGCGTGATGCACTCATTATACAGTGTGTATGTAATGCGCCTTTGAGGAGTGCCAATCTGACTCATTTCGCGCAAAAAAGCGATTTCGCCTCCTTGCCGCTTCTTCCTTTCGCTCCTCGGGTTCACGTCTCCTATTCTTCGCCCGGTGATGAACCCCGTTGCGCCGTGTTCCAGGACATTAGCATGTCTCGGCTTTGAGCTTAGCGGATCTGACATGTCTCTCGTTTAGATACTGGATAAAATTGGGCACTGAATGACAGCAAGCACCACAAGTTTTCGAGGTTAGGGGCACTTGTACCGGACTCTTTTGTCTAACTTTCTTCTTCAGGTGGGTGAATGGTTCACTAGGTTGGCGGCCGTGGCGCTCTTTGGGGGGCTTCTGGGCTGATAAGAGACATCGCTGTGCGAACGAGAGATCAGGGGCAAACGGGAGAGAAAAGAAAGTGTGGGGGTGGTTGTCTAAGACAGCCAGAATGGACGAGTGACAGGTTGAGTTGTGTGGGATAGAGGTACATGAGATGCTATGCACACTGCACAGCCTCTGCTTGGCTATCATTTGTGTGCTTCTTCTTCTGGCAAAAGAGACAAAATGCGTCTCCAGATCAAATACATGTACAACGAGGGGGGAACGTCTTTTGTGCGATGACGCCGGGGATAAGACGGCAGCGCCTATTGGAGCAGAGCCGTTTGTTGGCGTTCGTATTCGAGAGTTAGAGCCTCACAGATGCTTGGTGCCGAGCCGGCGGCTGTCTTTGGTCACTGGCCCAATAAACGGCCTCCGCCTCTTGGTGTTGGAGCGACCGTAAGCAGTTTTGCTTTCCTGCGAAGTTGTGTTTACTTGGACGACGGGGATTCACCTTAGCCCCATGTGGTGCTGTGTACAAGACGCGGTATCATGTGATATCTGGTTGACGCTTGCAACTGTCGCTGCTGCTGAGCTGATCTCGGCAGAGCGACACGGGCTTGATGGTAGTTTATTGCCGATGAGGCCGGTCGGCTATCTAATCTGGAGATGTAATAGTCTTACATTACATAAGGCTCCCTGCGTTGCCTCGTGGAGAAGTGACGTTGCCTTGTCAACGTTTTGTAATGTTTGATTTGCAGCCTCGTTTAGTAAAAGGGATGGTCTGGCCGAACCAAAGCAGTCTCCCGGTAGATGTTTGGTGGCTCACCTAACAACGAGCACCTCTTTGTTCCCCTTGAGAGCTTGTATGATAATGCAATAATGACATCGTGTGTGCGATCAGTCTAGCCTACGCCCCATCATTTAATGTGACACAAGGCAGTAAGATACTAATGTAGGTTGCAGGCTGCGGCATCCCGCTCCGGCAGGCCCCTTTTGCCGAGCTGCCCGGTCCGAGTGGATCCGTGAACCAGGCAACAAGCCGAGAGTGGGGCTGCTTTCGCTGGGCTCCGGAGGCTGGAGAGTCGTTTGCTTCGGAGAAAGATATGTCCAATGCCTGTCGACTATCGTAATAGCACCTCTGGAAGTTTCTCTCAAGTGAAAGAGCTATGACAGGTGGTATCGGGAGCACAGTTCTTCCCACCCGGTGTACGATTCCTGGCTCAGCAAGCCACGCGCTCTCCGCAGCCCTCGGGAACCGGTTTCCGTAGTCGCTGATCGGAGCCGACGTTGGCATTACCTACTTGAAAACTAACACGAGTTGCACAGCCATGCACATAGACAATGATTTTTCCGGACGTGATGCGCTACCATGGAACTTGAGTTGAGCACAGATCACATCATCCAAGCCTGCTTCGCCATCTTTGAAACCTACCAGAAGAAGGTTAAGAAGGGTGTTGCTCCCCTTTTCTGCCTTGACTAACAATATCCTACTATGGGTGGGTCGCCAATACCTGGATATTTTCTCCCAAAGTGGCTAGTAAGGACTTTACACAAGCCTCGAGGCTGCTCAATAGGGTATTTTGCAAACAAGAAGTATTAGAAATCTTCCATGCATGGTCGTCCTGGGGTTGCGTCTATGATAGTGATCGTCATCATGTTCTGCAAACAAAGTTACTCTCAAGCAGCCCGACTCTCTACGGTCTTAGCAATTGTAAAGGAATTGATTCAAAGGCTGACAGGGAATTTGGCTTGTCACGTAGCATCCGTAGTGCGGGATCTACGTTGAATCTGTAGAGATTGCTGGACATGAAGATAATGAAGAGTTTAACAGAAATTAGCTCCCGTCGGATGCTCTTTGGATCCGTAGGGCTGAAAAAGCATTCTGCTTGTCTCCATTCGGACCGCGCGCGCGCACGAGTCACCTCACACTGCCGTGCCGGGGCATACCCAGGGATGCGGGGCCTCTTCGGTCCCAGCCGTAGCATCGCGAAGAAATGAATTGGTGAGCGCTGACGTGCTGCGGATTTTGTATCCGTAAAGTCCTTTGCATTTGTAAGTGGTGAAGGGCAACTTGATAGACCAAGAGGGGAGGATATAAGCTTCACAATGTCCGCAGTTAGACAGGAAGAGCTCTAGATACCATCACCAACAACTGACTTTCGTTGACAATGCTACAAACTGTCATTACCATGTCCAGACTTCTCACCCTCGTTCTGCCTTTGCTGGCCTTGCCAGTTATCCAAGCTTGCCCGACAAAGTATCATAACGCTACTACGGCCTGCGCCCAGGTGACCGGGAATCAGACCGTCAACTCGTTCCAGCTGTACCCTGAGAATGCAGACTTCGACACCAAGCGCTGTGTGGCCTACTTCAGGCAAGGTTCCCCAAATACATACCAAGAGACCTTCAACATCGACGGAAAAAGTGCCATAAACTAATCCCTAATAGTGTCCTATACAACGCCAGCGTCGCTGCCTGGAACCCTACCACGTCCGAAATCCAGACCATCGAGATCCCAGGCCTGAGCTTCGACCCCGAACTGCACTCTAGCGGCGTCCGCGTCGACCCCCTCGACCGCCTCTCCATCATCATCGACGCCGGCTCCGCCTTCGACACTGGCGGCCAGAACATCACGGGCGACAACATCCTCGTCAAGTACGACCTCACCAAGAAGCAGGTGCTATGGCAGCGCAACCTGACCGAGGTCACTGGTGGCGTGTACGGCGGCTTCCAGGACACGGCTCACGGCCCCGACGGCACCACGTACGCCCTCGGCACGTTCCCCAGCAGCATCATCCGCGTCAGCCCTGACGGCTCCGAGGCCGTCCCGTGGTACCTCAAGTCGCCGGCCAACCACTCCATCCATGGACTCTCCGGACTCGTCTCCTCCCCCGACGGAAAGGCGCTCCTCGTTGCCGATAGCTCGGACGGCCAACTCTACCGGTTCGACACCACCAACGCCACGGCCTCAACACCGGTCCGAGTCCCTCTCACCTCGGCGGACACCATCGGCGCGGCGCTCGACGGCGTTTCGATCCCAGCTCGGTACAACGGAACCGTCATCCTCGTCTCTGACAACGAAAAGGGAACGGTGGTCCTGCACTCGGCCGATGCCAAATGGAAGTCTGCTGCTGTCATCGGAACCGTGCCCAACGCATACTTGGCCGATGGAGGCTCGACTGTGACGACTGTGCAGATTGGTGGCAGCGTCTACTCCGTGACGGAGTACTTTGGGGATGCCAAGGTCGCGGGAACGCTGGCTGGCAACCGAACGCAGTGGCCGCTGGTTGATATCACCGCAAACATCAATGGGTTCCTTGCTGGTCAGTAAGGGAGAAGAAAAACACAGTCCTTACCGAACACGATAGATGCTGCAGCTGTAGTGATTACGATAGACTCATAGATCTCCAAGACGTTGGAAGCGATATGATCAACTTTTATGCAAACTCTTCCATATTTGTAAATATGAATCGAAGCCTTGACACGGCCCTGGCATGCCTGGATATCGTTAGAATGCCTGTCTCATTTAGCCTAGAGCTTGAGTGCGCTCCAGAGGCTTCATGCTTTGGGCAGGCGGTAACTGGTCTAGGATGATGGGAGTGGTGGCTGATATCCGTTCCGGAAGTGAAAGTCAACGTGCATATAACTGCTGACCCAGGAAATTGGTTTGACAGCTCATCACTAGAGTATATCTCTCCACTAATGCTCTGCTGGCAATCCTTCAATCCTCAATCACAATGCTGACCACCACTCTAGGGTTTGCAGGCACCATTATTCGTGCTTACACGAGCAGGGATGGCTCCAATGGGATACGCTAGCTGGACGCCCGTCAGCACTTAACGACAATACAAAAGAGTAGTGCAATCAGGGGGGAATTCCAGCATAAGTTCTTCCTTTGAACGCGAAACCAGATAAGTTGGATACATCCGTTGCCCCAGGGCATTGCAAACTATCATCGCGATCCACGTTGCTTCTCCGACGATCCTCGTGTTCGTGCCAAATATCCGCCAAGGATGGAATCTGCAAGCAAGCGCGTCGCCGTCATCGGCGCAGGTAAAGGGGCCCTCCCTCATCAACGAAGTGAGACGCTAATGAACGCCTAGGGCCTAGCGGTCTCGTCGCTATCAAAGAATGCCTCGCAGCAGGCCTGGAAGTGTTGTGCTTCGAGCGCGCACCAGCGCTCGGCGGGCTCTGGCTATACAACCCGGATCCGAGTGCCGAGACGAGCTCCGGCATGTACCCCGGTGTAATGCTCAACTCCTGCCGGTTGACCACGGGGTATAGTGATTTCCCGATTGATCCGGCACGGTACCCGATTTACTATTCCCACAAGCTGCATCTACGATACTTGAACGAGTACGCGACGCACTTTGCTCTCGAGAAGCACATCCGCTACGAGACGACCGTAGTGGGATGCGCGCCTCGTAAGGAGGGCGGCTGGGAGGTGAGGGTCCGCAGAGGAGGTGAGAAAGATGGCAACGGGGAGGAAGTGCACACGTTTGATGCTCTTATCTGCGGAACTGGCATTATCAGCAAGCCCTTCATCCCTGAATACAAGGGAAGGGAGTATTTCAAGGGTGAAGTGCTACACAGTCGTTCCTATCGCAAGCCGAGCGCCTACGAGGGCAAGAAGGTCATCCTTGTCGGTCTTGGGTCCTCGGCCATCGACGTTGCTTGTGAAGTTGGCCCGCTGGCAAAAGAGCTCACGATCGTCAATCGTCGAGGTGCTTGGGTTTTGCCCCGATTTGTGCTGGGTAAACCCACAGAGGCGTGGGACAGTACGTCTTTCTCTTTCCATATCTCAAACCCGTGATGGGATCCTCTACTGACCCAGTCTCAAAGGCCGTAGCAGTCAGATATGGCTTCCCGCAAGCGTCCAGGAATGGCTCTTCGAGAAGATACTCAACCATGCCCAGGGCAAGATGCCACCGGAGCTTCAGCCAGACCACGGACTCATGGCGCAGAACGCCACCATTCGAAGCGACTTCATCGAGAAGCTACAGACCGGTGTTTTCTCCCTGCGTCGTACTACGATCGCCTCCTTCACCGAGACCGGCGTCATCCTTGAGAATGGAGACTCTCTCGACGCCGACGTCGTCATTCTCGCCACCGGATACCACATCGTCGACCAACCATACCTCCCTCCAGGCGCGCTGGCCAGCAAGGAGGCGCCAGCCCCGCACGTGGACTTGTACAAGTCCATCGTACCGCCCACTTGGAAAGACCTGTATGTCATGGGCCAGACCGAGCAAGCCGGACCCGTGACGCCGGTCTCCGAGGCGCAAGCCCGATACATTGCCGCTGTCATCAAGGGAAGCGTGAAGTTGCCTGGGGAAGAGGAGATGATGCGGGAGATCCGCACGTTGAGGGGTTGGCGGAAGAAGCATATGATCGACTCGGATAGGCACGCCTTGAACGTCGAGTTTGTGAAATACATGGACGGTCTGCTGGCACCGCTGGGGGCGGTACCGACTTTCGGGAAGTTGTTTGGACGCATCTTCACCAGCGGAAAGCCGTTGCGAGCTTGGAGTATCCTTTCGGCTGTTTACTTTGGCATCCCAGCTCCTGCGCAGTGGAGGCTATTTGGTGAAGGAAGTACACCTGTGTTGGCTGAGGAGACGCTGCTCAGGACTGATGTGGACGCAAGTCACTTGAGCGAAGGAGAGAAGTCTTTCTTTTGAGGAGTTTTCTATCTCGGTTTCAGTACCTCTCAAAATCATTCAATGCCCAGGATATCAAGGGGATACCCCCTGGATGAATCATGATTTGTTAGCAGTGCGGCACCTCAAGCGCTAGTCTAGCGTAAGGTATCTGACCATCTTACTATGCTGAACAATACCCGGCAAGTGATCGAGCTTCATAGTCAAATATACACATTTTCAATCTCCTTTAGAGTCCAATCCCACAGCTTGAGTGCGAGGTTGTTATCCTTCGCGAAAGCACTGCCATTGCCAGCGACGCCAACGGGCTCATAGTACTCGCCATTCTCAACCCCATCGGCAGTAGCAGCCCACAGCTGGCTCCTCGGACCCTCCTCCACGTCGACTACGATGAGTGGGACGACCACTTTCTGAAATGCTCTGATGAGCAGGCTACCATCCGTCGACTTTTGCAAGTCGGTCTTGACTGTGCCCGGGTGGATGGACACGGTCGTCCATTGGGGATACCTCTTGGCCATCTCCCGTGCGTACAGCAGGTTGGCGAGCTTGCTCTGTCCGTAGAGAGCATTCGCCGAAAGACTTTTAGTTTGGCCGTTTGGGTGAAAACTGTCGAACTGCAGACCGCCAGAAGGTGGGTACTTATGAGCCACGGAGCTGACGAAGACGACGCGGACGTCGGCTTTTCCGCCGCCAACATCACTTTTGGAAGCTGTCGTGCTCAAGACGGGAACAATAAGCTTGACGAACAAGGCGTGGCCAACATGATTGGTTCCGAAATGCATCTCGTAGCCTTCCTGCGTCACACTTCCAGCAGGCACGTTCATGACGCCCGCGTTAAGGATGAGGATGTCGAGACGGGATGCCATTGAGAGGAATTTGGTTGCAGCGTTGCGTATAGAGTCAAAGGAAGTGAGATCGAGCTTTAGAAATTTGACAGAGACTGTTGGAGAGGTGCTCTCGATTGCGTTGATGACGGTTTGGGCGTTGGGAGCGCTCCGGGCCGCGATCCAGATCTCAGCTGGGTTGTGTTTTGCGAGGTCCATGGCTGATTGGCGCCCGAGGCCGTTGCTTCCGCCTGTGATGAGGATCACTTTGCCTTGTAGGGATGGGATATCCCGTGAAGGGAGCCAAGATGCGCCTTTGCATGCCATTTCTGGGTGTGGGGGTTGTGGATGAGGTACGCTGGGCAGGACAATGTGCCAATAGAGGGTGATGGAGGGTGAACGTCGTTGACTGAATGTTGTCATCGAGATTAGGTTATGAGATATTCCACGAGAAATTTGGCTTTACATACGTGATCGTGAGAAGTGGTTTCGCTTGGTTCTTCTCTCACTTTCCGAATGATATGCTTTGGGCCATCGGGGATCTGGTGGCAGCACGCAGAGAAGCCCAGACCGAATGTCGGACAGCCAATAGGATGACACGCTTTGCGAGCGGGCAAATCGCAACTCCAAGCTTGACACCGGTAGCGCGAAATAGGCAGAGTAACACCGCCTCATTCTCAAGTTCCTTTTGTTTACTGATTTATACTCCAGCTGTAATAAAGTTGTGGTTTGAAGGGGGGAATGATGCCGAAGAGAGACACCAGCATGAAGAGTGGCCGCTGCCCAGGAGAGATTCAAAGGGCTATGTTGGTCAACTTAAGCCAAGAATTAACTGGAAACTTCAAGATTGACTGGCTAGAACTTGTGTTTGACACTCCTTCCTTGATGTGAAGTAGTATAAATAGTCTCGAATTGCAGCTGCAAGGGACAAAGAAACCGATCGAATGCACATAGATAAAGTAGGCCAAATCAGCATTTTTAGACCGTCAAGTCCAATCCTATTCAAAGCATAGAGCTTCTAGACGTCTAACACAACATGCCTTCACACAATGCATGGGTACTTATTGTCATATGATTACTTCAAGATGTTTTCTCCAGCTAAGGTATTGGCGCAAACGCCCACTTCCGGGCCTTCACGTCGTAGACCTTCTTGAAAGGTCTCATCGTACCGTCTGGGCATCTCATCGTACCTGAGAAAGCCAACTCTCCCAGAGAATCGTCTGGTAATTGCAATCGAACATAAAGCAATCTGCGATCGTTCGGCAATGTCGGTGGGGTTGGTTGTTCCTCGGCGAGGCCTTTGGCATTAAGGAGCTGGTTCCTTAAGCAGACCTTTTCGAAGAAGTCCCCTTCCTCCATTCCCGTTACTTCGGAAGCCACGGGCCCCGCAAGAGTCGCGTCCCACATCCCTTCCTGGTGCAATCCGTCAGAGATGAGCTCGATAGCTTGTCGCCTGGTGCTTGGCTTGCGACATTTCAAGGCGACGTAGTACAGTGGTGGTATAAGACCCATGTCGGCAGTGAAGCTGAACTTGGTTGTACAATGCCCCGACGAGAGATCTGCCGCTACTGTGGGTATTGCTGCGGTAAGCATCTGTTCGGACGACTTCGTCATCATGTCGAAATGCCAGATGAACTTGTTGAAGACGAGTTCATCACCCGGGTGAAGAGATGTCTCCGTGATGATGTGTGCCATCATGTGATAGACAGGTAGGAGACGGAAAGGCAGACGCTCCCGGGCGGATAGATGAGTCCATCTCTTAGCTTTCAGAGAGTTGAACGCGCGCGACCACGATATCAGGTCGTTCCTTAGACATGACTGAATGACAAGCATCTTGAATGCTTGAGACACGTCGGGACTTGTCGTACTCGATAGGCAACATCGTCGTAGCCGCTGAGCCCTGACTAAAAGTTGATCTAGATGATTCCGAGCCTCAATCAGTGACCCGAAAGAGCCGGGGAGCTGTCCTAAGGGACGCAGTCCGTTGGTCTGCCTTTCCTGGCTAAATGGACCTTTCAATGATCTCGCTTGATAGTAGAGTTGTGAGAGTGTGTCAACAAGGCATTCGACCACGGGATCTAATGACTTGTTGCAGCGAGCATCGCCGATGTTGTCTCCCGATCTGAGGTCAGGTATGATGTGACTCAATAAGTTCAAGCCGTGGTTTAGATGGGAATGGCCTGCTTCAAATCTTTTACGCATGTACTCTAAAAATATGTAGAGAATGCAAGAAACCAGAGCCACTTGTGCTGACACGGGATTGTTCAAGGCTAGGCGTTCTTGAAGAAGAACTATTGACTTGTTGTAGTGCTGTAAAGTGCAGCGTTCCTGGACGTCTGAGAAAGAGACAACTCTCCGATTTGGCACGGAGCCGGCGTCGGCCATTTGGTTCTTGTGAACAGAGGCGAGCGCCAGGATTGCATGCATTACGGCCGGCTCTGTCGAGCTTGTCTGTAGAACGATAGTGTCCCAGAAGGCAGAGTCGAATATCCCTGCCAGCTTGGCGATTGTCCGGCGTGAAAACCACTCGTAGAGCCTCTTCTCAGCATCCGACAGCCCCGAAACGGAGGTGCGGATGTTGCGAAGCGAGATAGATGACGCCTGCTGCGACAGAAATGGGGCTGGTCTTTGGTTTCTGGAACCCCAAATGCCATACTCATCGCAGGTCCTGCCTGTCGACAAGCTGGCCGGGTTTCATCACACTTTACTTTCCGAATCCTGATTTTCAGTACCAGTAAGAATACCTTCCCATAATATCACAACATGATGTGGTATGAACGCACCTGTAGGTCCTGCAGCCGGTCTTGACCCGGATAGTTGGGCGGGACTTCGAGTTGTTGGTGGATCTTGGAGGCTGCGGCCGGGATTGAACTCCATCCATTTCGACAGGCCACCAGCGATTCTCTCAAGGGATGAGGGGAGCGGATGAAATCAGCGCCGGATCAATATTGGACTCTGGACTTATTGGGTATTAGATGGTCGATACGGTATGTGCTTTCCCAATAAGAAGAACCACTGAGAGAGTGTTGCAAGCTGTGTTATCACAGCGAGTCTTCAACGTTGCTCGAGACTCGAACGGTGTCGTCGGCTCCGGCCCTCCGGCCCTTCCTCATGATTCGTTGGATCGCAATTCCGTATCTTTCATTGGCTCAAAGAGAAGAAAGTCCGTGCAAAATGGCCTCGAGGGTCGAAATAGGAAATAGCTTCAACCAAGGTTTCGGGCCATGCCTTTGAGTTGAGCGGCAATCTCAATGCGTCATTCCACGTGCTCCTTGAGCAACATCGATACGTAGCACGGCTAATATTAGTGATAGATTGCGTCTGCGGGTTAATCAATACGTGCCCTCGGCAAGTCACGAGCAATGTGTTGCGATCTCAACGTTCCATTGGAAGGGGTTACGAGGGATGAGTCAAGTGATTAAGATTAATGTTAGCTATCACGAAGGCTTTTGCTCAAAAATCACTCTAGTCATCTTCGCAAAACTGTCTTCAACCACCACTTTTATCCAGCGCTTCTATCATACCTTCGAAATGAGCACAACACGGCTGTCGTAGTCACCATCAAAAGCATACTGCACACCCGTACTCATCAGCGTAGCACCAGAGTAGGTGCCGTTATTATCCAATGAGTACTTGGCCGTCGGATCTAGTCCTTGAAGCCGAAGCCGCGGCAGGGCATGGTTGTACAGCGCGCGCACCTGGAAGTAGAACAGCACACCCTGCGACCCATCCTCCGAGATGACCATAGCAGCCGGCCAGTTAGACTCCTCTGGCAGACTGAGACGCCACAGATCGCCTCCAATGACAATGGGGTTGACCACTTCGCCCAATGCCAACAGCTCGGGGATCTGCACCTTATCCTCGGCGGAGATCACGGCCGGGTTCAGCTCGAGGCCAAAGGATCCACCCATCATGGCGACGTGAGCACGAAACTTGATGGGAATCGTGCGGCCAGTGAGATGGTTGGGGACTGCGGAGACGTGGGCTCCCATGGCAGAAAGAGGGTACGCCAGCGACGTTCCGAACTGAATGGAGATGCGGTCCAGGGCGTCGGTGTTGTCAGATGTCCAGATTTGAGGGAAGTAGTGAAGGACGCCGGGGTCGAAGCGACCACCTCCGGATGCACAGCCCTCCCAGAGCACATCTGGGAATCGCGAGGTGAGGACCTCAAAGACGTGATAGATGCCCAGCATATACGAGTGGCCGATGCCTGGAACGGGGGTCTCGTGGAAGCCCCTGTTGTTGTCCCACTTCACGTAAGAGATAGGGGCGCTGGAGAGGATCTTCGAAACCGAGTCAATGATGAATTCCTGCACCTCTGGAAGCGCCACATTGAGCACCAGTTGGTTCCTCCTGATCGTTCGAGGGTAGTTGCCGGCGTGGAGGGCCCAGTCAGGATGCTCATGGTACAGAGTAGAGTTGGGGTTAACCATCTCTGGCTCAAACCAGAGACCAAACTGAAGCTTATCTGTCGTGTTCGTGACCTCGAGGTTGGTGACCTTGTTGACAAGAGCTGGGAGGCCATCGGGGAAGCGTTGCGCGTTGACTTCCCAATCACCAAGACCGGCTGTGTCGTTCAGACGGGGGTACTCTTCGCCAAACCATCCGTCGTCCAGTACGAAGAGCTTGACGCCGAGTTGCGCCGCTTCTTGTGCCAGGTCGTAGACGGTACTCTCGTTGTAGTCAAAGTAGAGACCCTCCCAGCTGTTCAGCAGAGCGGGACGAGTCTGGTCGACGAATTGACCTCTCATGAGGTGGTTGCGGTAGAGACGGTGGAATTTCCGTGACACGCCACCGACACCAGCATCCGAGTACACAGCGACAACCTCGGGAGTGGTGAGAGTCTCTCCTGGTCCAAGAGGCCACGAGAGTTGGTATGGGTTGAAGCCAAGCATGGCACGGGTGAACCCTTGGGATCCTTTCTCCACATCAACGGAAAACGAGCCGGTGTAGACAAGAGAGAATCCCCATGCCTCGCCTTGGGACTCGGTAGTGTCCGGGGAGACAAGGGCCAAGAATGGGTTGTGAAGGTGAGATGAGTAGCCAGTCGTGCTTCCGAAGCTACGTGGTGTTCAGGTCAGTCAACTGTTCTTCAAGGACTCAGTAGCAGTCATTCGTCACTCACCCCTGCGTGCCGTAGCCAACCTTCCTCCGGACTCTCATGGCTTCACGGGCCCAGTCACCTCTCAACTCGATCATCTCAAGGTCTTCAAAGGGCA